CCCCAAAACCCCAAAACCCCAAAACCCCAAAACCCCTTAATAACATCTGAGTTTTGAAATATATATTTTATGGGTCTAGGCTTGGAAATACTTTGAATTTTGGGAATTATGAAAACTCATGAGCTAGAAGATCCCACTGGGAGCTGACCTCATGCTCTCTCTTTGAAGATTCTTCCTCTTGTGAGGCGATCTTAGCAGACAAGGAGTCGTATAAGGGCTTGTCTATCTCAGTCAATGACTTCAATGCATTAGCAGCCATGGATTGAACAGTAGAGTTCCAATGTGATTTTGAGGATTTTGTTAACCCTTTCATAATAATTTCGAGTACAACTTCTTTGTTATCAGACACCATCTTTTGAACTTGTTCATTATTGATCAGAAACAGGATCCTTTCAGCTACCTGGAAGTGATTGCTGATTACGCAATTAGAGAATCTCTTGAAAAGGCTAACATGGATGTTAGATAGATCGTGACTGCTTGCCATCTCAAAGATTTCCTCTAACTCTTGAAGAAATAACACTTCCTTTGAGGCATTGGTTATTGGCCAGATTTTTAATAAATAAGCGATGATCTTATTGGACAAGCATATGTCTTTTTCTAGAAATTGAAGTATTCAGTTTTGCAACTGAGTGTGGAAAACTGAAAGGTTTGAGACCTTATGCAGTGGCAGAAGAGCCTTCTCAAGGAAGAAAATGTGACTATCCTTTAATGGACTCTTGAATCCATTGATTATAGCGCATAGGATCTCCAATAATTCAGAGATTCCATTGTTCTCTTCGTATTCAAAAGCTATCTTGAGGAAGAAGTTCATGATACTTTTTCTGATAAAGTCTCTCATTGGCATGAATCTGCCATATATTCTGTGTAGGATAGTTTTGAGATAATCCCTTTCTCTTGGATCTTCAGAGTTAAATAGTTCCAACATTTTTAGAATAAAGGTTTCATCCAAGTGTCCTCTAATATCAGCTGGATCCATTTCATGATTCATGATAAACCTCAAAAGTAGTTCATATACAACTTGGTAGTGAGGCCAAGCTTCTTCCAGATTTGGCTCATCCTCATCTGGGTCAAGAGTTGGTGATTTTTGCTGTGGAGAACCACATCCTAGGGTTCTGAACAAATTAGCATTCACTGTGACCATTAGTGATTTGAAGACACCAGTGTTGAATACCGTATTATCAGCATTAAGGTAATCAACGAGTTCCAAAAGAGTATTCTTTTTCTGTTCTTTAAGGTCAACATCTGCTTTCTCATCCTTAAAATTACAGATAACACAGCATGCCTTTAGCTTTGCTTTGAAAAGTTCATGTCTGTGCGAAGCTTGGACATCTTTAAATTTAGGAAGGGTCTGAATTGTCAAGTCACTAAATAACTTTCCTGACTTCCTGGCTCCTACTTTCGCACCGATCCCTCTGCTCATCGTCGCCTCGTCTGTTGAAGCACCTTTCAGGATATGGATATTAGAAGGAAACTCTCCTTTTGGAAGCTTAGAGATTCCAATAGTCTTTTTATTTGCAAGCCCTGCTGACATTTCTAACAATCTGAGATTTATTATAAATTCAAAATTTTTAAATACACATGGGGTTTTGGGGTTTTGGGGTTTTGGGGTTTTGGGGTTTTGGGGTTTTGGGGTTTTGGGG